AATATAAAAAGTACAAATAAATGGAAGGTTCCATTTGAAGACAGAGCATATAAATAAAGAAAATTTAGTTGTAGAATGTGTGCCTTTAAAACTCCATCCCCAACAACCTGCCAAATTTCACACACAGTGAAGCTCACTCCTACGTCAAAGTGGGGGGGGGGATAATCCTTCATTTTAAAGCTCTGTCCAATCCAAAATGTTAAGATCAAAATTCTGTGAGACCAAATCTAAACCACCAAAATTACTCATACAGCCCTCAGGGGGTCCATTTCTGTATACCTTCTTTCTCCGTGTTGTTGGTGTCGTCGTCTACCGTTGTGTCCCCTAAGAGCGTATCTTCCTCGTCGTTTCGACGGCGACGGTTGTCCCGGTAGCTGTCCTCGTCCGTTTCCGAGGGCGGTGTACTGTTGCGGTGTCCGTCTAACATTCCAAAGAAGGTTGAAGTTTACGCTTGTAAACACAGTCGTTTCTTAAATGTATTCCGATAGTACAAAGCCATACCCAAACAATTGAAGGGAGTACATTTTACTTTATTCCCTTGACAACTCTCTTACCAGGATTATGAACACTACCACATCTCATGAAGACCACTGCTACTACATCAACAGCAAATGAGGGGACTTTGGGGGAAAAAAAACACGTGAAACAGTAACCTGATGACCGACTGATCTGAATTTCAAGTCTACAGGAAGTTATCTACTTAAACCTGAACTTCTGATGGACTTTGCCATCAATGACAATTCAAAATGGCAACGATTGCTGTTTGCCCAAGAGATTTACAACCTTACCATAGCCCCCTCTGCCGCGGCCGCGACCCTGGGATGACCTCCCCCGGCCTCTGTTGGAAGCCCCGCCCCTGGGTGGGTACCCTCCCCTGGACGAGGCTCCGCCTCTGGACGAGGCCCCACTCAGTTCGTAGGTGTGGTTTTTGTCGTCCAGTCGGACTTGCTCCGCCCAGTCGCTGGACCGCGCCCCGTCCTCGCCCGATGCCATGTCCTGGTCGGACGCACTGTAGCCCCGCCCTGAAGAAAACGTCCGCGACAAAATACAAAGAAACAGTTAGACATGCGAAAGCTTTCAACAAGCGGGCCGAGAACAACTTCACAATGCGAATTTGCCAAGCGCTGATAAACAACTGGCTAAGCTACAGACGAGTCCAGCAATCAGAAATGACAGACACCACTGTGGTGGGGCCTCATTGACGCAAAATTTTTTTTTTGCTTGCATTTAGTGCCTACTTCGACCCGCAGACTGCTGTGGCTTGCCTTCATACATGTAAACCTCGAATGAGATCGTGCGCATGTGAGTGAGTGTCCTACTGCGGCAGTTTTGGGATCTTCCCCGATAAGTCGTTAAATAGCCCTCAACACCCATGAACCATGCGTATTCAGGAGTCACGCCCCATGCAGGAAACAGAATCCCTTTTCACTGGATTGTAAATTCTAGATGCGGCCACAAGATACCCCATGTCGGACATTGTAACAGGGCAAGCCCACCTTGAAGCATGTCAGAAATTATTCAGGAAGAGAAATGCCAACGCATGAGGTTGGGCTTGTCAGTGCGGCCAAGTAGAATACATGATCCATTCACAAATGACTTTGCCTTTTAGAAATGTCGAAATGGCTCAGTGAGACAGTCGGCGAGAGAGGAGCTTGTGAATGGAACAGGCGTGGGGTGATCAAACATAAGAGACAAGAGCCACTCTCACCTGAACTGTTCAGGCCCCCGCGGGGCCCGCCTCGGCTGCCCCCCCTTGAGCCACCCCGGCCCCTGCCCCGCCCCCGCCGGCCACGCCCACTCCCGCCCTCTTCTGAGAAGTCCGAGCCATAGCCCCGCTCGCTGCGGTCCCGGGGCGGGGGGAAGTAGGGCCCGGGCTGGTAGCCGCCGCTGAAGTTGCGCAGCTGCTGGTCAATCTGGAGGCGTTGGATACGCAGCTCCTCCATGTCCTGGTGATGAATATTCATGGAGAATATTCATGAGCATTACACATATAATATCCATCAGATGCTCTTAAAAAAATTTACACATTACAACTGATTCATTGTTCCATGAAAATTACACAACTGACCAAACTACTGACCACATCTCAAGTGTTCACCAATCACGCCCTGGTGCCCTTAAGTCATTCAACTCGGGCAGGTTTAATGAATGGTTCGCTAAATCTGAGAGAACCCATACAATGAATCTTAGATCTGGTAGAAAACTTGAGGAATACTCATGTAAAACCAGTAACATAAACCATAATACATGTAATAATAATAATCCTTTTGTTCGAAGTTAAGAGCAACCTACAGACGAGAGGGAATGAAAGGGCAGAAGCCTAATTTTCCCCCAAAGCTTGTGTGCATTACTGCCGAGCCCTAGCCCAGCAATTTACCTTCAGGTGAGCCAGGTGGTACTCAAGGAAGACCCGGGCGTTCACGATGCTCTCCTTGGTCCCCACAAACATGAAGGGCACCAAATTGTTGTCTGAAGAGCTGTCCCGTTCGTTGTCCCCCTTGATCTTGACCCGCACCACGCCCGACTTGTCCACGATCTCCTGGATGACCCGGCCGTTCTTGCCGATGACCTTGCCTGGACGGACGAGACGGGGGGGAGAGAGAGGGGGAGATTGCGAGAAGAGATGGAAAGGGTGTTGAAGTCCTGATCTGGGTCACGCGCGAACATTCTGATTCGATGTTTGTGGTAAGAGGTGAGCTACACATCACTGCGAGGATTTGGACAGACTCAGCCCTAAACCCGTCAGATGGAACAAAGTGTGACAAGTTTTACAAGGCTGCCGAGTGAATATGTGGAGGCAAATGCCACTGTTGGATCCTAAGGTGGCCAAGCAACCGCGGTCTCTGATGCAGTTTGGCTGTGTGGACCGCGGACATGTTCTCGCCTCGTTGCACTTCAAGCAAGTCAGTTTGAACAATGCGGCAAACGGATACGTCTGGCAGAGTTTCAGGCCAAATAGCCTTGAGGGTTAGGGCTAATGTCAGTCTCTGCTTGATGACCTCAGCATCTGCATGCATGAGGGACTGCGCATTTACAACCCAGCCACAGCGGTGAGTGCGCCCTCGTCAAGACAAGTCGAGATTAGGGAACCGGAGAGGGGGTTCACGTCTCCCTCTACACAGTCCAGCTCCCACAATCTTCATTCAGAGACCACAGAGCAAGCATCAAGGACTCACCTATAACACTCCTTGGGACTTCACAGACTTCCTCTCCGTACTCCAGCATGCCCCGGGCTTGCCGGATGGCATCGACCTGCAATGACCAAACGAGTAGTTTTCTGATAACTGAACCTTCAATGGGAGAAAAAGAATGAATTTCACCAAAGTTCCTCCTTTTTAGGCACCCTCACGAATCTTGCACAACCCTTCACAGCGCAGACACCCAGTGGCACTTTCTTTGTACTTCAAACCTTCAAGAGTCATCAAGATTCATGTAAAGCAATGGCAGAGTTTCTACCTTCCCGGATCCCAAAAAATCTATGAATCCAATTAATTTTCTGGACGGCCAGATGGGATCTAGGATAAAGTTGCCAGCTCAGCTCTGAACCGACTATCGCTTAAAGTTTCAGTCAAATAAAAACAACTATGGTCCTGGACAACCATAGGTGAAATTATAAAACAGAACATGCTCAGATGTAATTGAAATATGAGAGTGGCTGCATACCACTGTGATCAGAATATAGACATAAATATAATATTTAATCGGTGCTTTGAATTATGTGATTGCCGAGCTTTTGGTAACTGGGTACCTTCGAAGTGAATCTACTTGCCCTGTTTGTTTACAGTTTGCCAAATTCAGATGAGCTAGACAGTGCGCATTAAGAAGTTTTAGTCCATTTTGGGGGGTTCATCAGTTCCATCAGAGTACCAAACATACAAAGGGGGGTACAAACTGAGGAAATAATGACTGATCATTACTATTTTCTTGAACTCTTATTTTTTGGGGGGAGAGAGTCAGAGAAAACAAGAATGCTGTGTGCGCTGTCAGACTGACAGTGATTACAACAAGTGGCATTCCCAAGGGGTCTTTAAGCCTCAAATTCCAATCAACCCCCGCCCCCAAAAAACGGCTTCACAGCGTCGACTGACCTCCCCGTATATCCTGAAGGTGCACGTGTCCTCGTCCAGGTCGATGCGCCGCACCCCCAGGATCCTCCGGGCGTTCTGGATGTTGGCACCGTGTGCCCCAATGGCCAGCCCCATCAGATCCTCGGCCACCCGGAACTCCTCCACGCTGCTGCCCTGCCCCTCCAACTGGGAGCGGGTGCTCTCCAGCTGCTGGGCCGCCTCCTCCGTCCGGCCCAGCATCAGTACCTTCTCCCGCAGGCTGCGGAAGTGCATGTCGCTTAGAAGCTCAGCCCGCCGCATCAGGGAGGCTGAGTTGCCCTGCCGAGGCAAGAGGAAACAAGTTGTCTTGTGAAAAATGAACACACTACGGGTCAGTTATTCAAAAGTATTTTACTCTATCTAAGCCAGGTTGGAAACTGAGCGACTAGTATCTAGTTGCTGTGGCTTGAACAGCCATATCTTAACCTTAACCCTCCAAGAGAACTTGGCTAGAAACCCTGCCTGACGCATCAGACGGTATCGTTTGTCAAAGTGGGTTGCCTGCCTATTGTAACAAGATCCAACAGGTCAATTGCCCCCAAGGCCAAACAGCCTAGGATGGAGTCTGTGGTTGCCAGTCACCACAAGATCCACCAGTGGCATTGTTCAATGGGACCAGCTCCCATTGTCTCAACGTGACCAGTCTGTTCGGCTGCTGTTGATTGCCAAGTGCATCAAAGTGCATCAGACTTTTCCCCTGATGCACTGTGCTGCGTCTGGCAGGGTTAATAGGGTTATTGACCTGTGTCAAAGCAACCTTTCAAATAGTTGCGAGCTGTACATTTTTCGTTGGCCCAATGTCTTAGTGTTAGCACAGGTGGCGTAAGCATGTGTCGAGGCTTGCTGAAGTAACAACTAGGTTAACACAGACAGCCTAGTAAGTACCGAGACTGTGGGATTCAAGACCAGGACCTAAACCAGGGATAAGATTTCTTCGCTCTGCCTAGCTATGAATGCAGACTTTCTCGAAACCACAGTGAGGTTAGCTCCTAATAATCCCGACAGACAGCGAGAAGTGCACGAACAAGGCCGTGTTGGAGGTTTCTTAAACTCTGTTCCTTTCGATCATTCCATTAGGAGAATGGTTTGAACACTAGCAGATGTCAGACAGCAGTTCTGAGCTGCAGGTAGAAATAGGACAGAAGCCAGAGTGACAACTTACAAAGACAAGCAGCGAATCGGTGTCGTCGTTGTAGACGATGGCCAGCGCCCCGGTGGACTTGAGGAAGTCTTGGTGGTGCTTGGGGTCCTTGGCACTGTGCATGTGCAGAGGAAATAAGTCAATCAAATCGGAATAATCAGCGAAGAATCACTGCACGGCCGCACAGAACATTCAAATAGCCCACTGACCGCAGTTTTCTCCAGTACTTACTGAAGCCGAGTGATCTTCCAATTTTTATCAGAATGTTCGGTCAAATCTGGCAAAATCCTACATGCAGAAACCTCTGCCCTGGACTCAAACTGGAAATCTACCCACGTGTGGGTGGTATTCTGTCAGATACAGCTACGTAAAAGCTGTCGGTTGACCAGCGCGCACGCCTCACTCCAACAACTTTCATCGCGAGCTGCAACAGCGCGGCTGCATTCGACAAAGGCACTTACAATTCCCTGATGTCCGCCGGCACGGAGATAGACACCTTGTGAAATGTCTCTGCATTGAGGCTGGGCCTGTTACAAAACAACATTCGTAAACTTTAACACTGGAAAGCACGGCGGGATGATGTAAACCACATGGCCTTGGTTACTGACCAAGGGCTATGCGCATGCGTGTACAGACAAGAAAAACTCACGTGCATCTAAACAAATGCCTATGAATCGAAACAAGAACAAATCCAAGTTGGCTGCGAAAATTCATAGCATTAAAAGGCAACAGCATCCATATGCATTTCCAAAAAAATCACACTCTGCTGTAAAGACTCGCACTGTCGCTGAAGATTACTTCCTCATACCGTAACTCTGCATTATAACTTTTTAATTTGGATAGACATAACAACCTGGAGGAGAGGGCACCTACTGCGTGTTTGGACGTCGAAGTCTGTCCAGCTGTACGATCTCATTGTACGTAGCGTCGTAGCCGACGTACTCTATGACATAGAACTGTTGAGCCAAAAACAATTTCAAACGAGAACATTATGGACTTGGAATGAACTGAAGTTTTCATATCCCGACCAAACTGCTCCCACATTGTGGGAAACGGTAGCTGTGTTTTGCCCCCCAGTTATGGCAATACATAGTGTGACAGATGGGCAGCGGAAGTAATAAACACCGCACGACGTGTGGCGTCATGCCTGTCAACTGCCCACGGAAACTAAACACCCGCAAGGTATTTTCAAGTCTTTCCAAGAGCTGCACGGCATACCGCTAGCATCCACAGCACTAAACTAATCAACGTTTCAAGCCAGAAACAGGCACCGCAGAAGAGAGAGTTGCTTTTTCCTGGTGGAAGTTTGCACGGCTATGACCAAAGTGGGAATTTGTCAACAAGGTCTGTAAATTTTCTGGAAGGGCTTACCATTCAAAAGTACAACTCCTCCGACTGCGACACGTTCCTCTGTTTAACCAAACCCTCCCAAGCCTCCACCTATTCCCCACCCCCCCCACTACGCTCAACCCTCATCCCCTCCCCACCAGATCGCCGGAAACCCACCAAAAAAAATCCTGCCATTTTTGTCACTCCGAAGTAACCGTGGCAATGTACATGTACATACCTCCCCTTTAATCATCTGAATCTTGGCTTGCCACCATCCGCACGGCTCGCCTTCGAAGGAGCGAGAATAGACCTAACAGATGCGGAGGAGACAGTCAAAAAATAAAAAAATCTCAGAATGAGATCAGGGATTCGGAAGCCAAATCGGAATCACATGAGGGCATGGAATTGCCATCCACACGCATACCAGGGCCGTGCAGCGGCAGATCGAAACATTGTCTGTAACCTCTACAAATCTGCAAGTGAAGTCAAAGCTACACTTTTAAAGTAAGGCACATCACATTAACCCCAACAATCCCTAACCAGTCAATCTAAGGTGTTTAAATTTGTGGAATTAGGTACTGAGAACTTGCTATATGGTGTTGGATTTTGACTAAATAGGTACTGTCGCCCTGCAAATACCCTGTTGAATTTTGAATGAATGCGTACTGTGGCCCTCACTTTTTACCATCGCGTTCTACCATCAGGATTTTTAAATGAGTACCGTAGTTTTAAAGATTATGTAATGATAGAAAGCTTCCCCTTGAAATGGTAAGTATGCAATGTGTAATATTATGTAATAATTACCATAACAAGGACAATCTTTCTTGTTTCTAACCACAGTGATCCAAGCAGTTGGGGATGGATATGCAGCATGATGGTGTGTGAGTTTGTTTGACTAGGTACTGCCTGTCCTTACTCTTTGTACGGTGCAGTGGGCCTGCTGTACCCAATCAAACAGAGCCACACAGGTAAAGACCTGTTGGAGTTTGTCTGATTGGGTACTGTTGCAGCAAGAGTACCGTTGGAGTCTGTGTGATTGGGTACTGTAAGGTAGGAGTTTGATTCCAAGGTGTTGGAGTTTGTGTGGTTAGGGAGGGATACCACCAGCTGCCCTTGGGCAGTTAGGTTAAACTTTTTCCGCCCGCCAACAAAACACACTGAAGGTTTGCTTTCATTGTATGTTTAGAATAAATACTCTGAAAGGTCATTGAACTTAACCCAGACATGCAGAGGAGTTTCGTTCATCATGCTTCCATTATGTTTGGCTCAGTTCATTATCTCAAAGGTCCCTTTCGAGTTTTAAACGTAACCACTTTGAAAACCACCCCATCACACTTTCATTCTCTTCTTAATAATGTCCGTGATCGCACCTCCACATCATCTCCGGCCTTTAAGTCTTTGACTTCGTCATTTGGCGAGGGAGGGGGAAGACGGACGTCTGCAAAGGGCACTCGTCTCTCTGCCGACCAGCTGGGGACAGCAAAAGATAATTCCAGGATTATTTGAGACTTTGGACTTGGCGATGTTGAGACTTACAAACAGTACAAACCCGGTGTGTTCCATTAACCCAACCAACCATGCCCAATCCTTCCAAATCCTCCTGGGCAGTTTTTGAGAACTTTGGAGGATTGAGGCTGCATGGCAAAAATGCACCGCTGATTGCGAAGGATGCATCGTCTCAAGGTTGTGGGTGAGGACCTTGTGTTGTTTATGTTCAGCCAAGCCTAAATTCATGCCGACAAATACTGCATCTTCAATACTGCTCTAGGATACCATTCACACTGCCTCGACATAATGAAAGGAGGCGTCAGAGGATTTTGAAGGATTGAATACACAATATTCAAGAAATATCAAACGATTTTGAAGGATTGAATACACAATATTCAAGAAATATCGAAGGATTTTTGAGGACTGAGGCTGTATCCAATTTTTTGCATGGGGGGTAGTTGGAGCATTTTGAAGGACTGAGGGTGTATCCTCCGAAAAGGGCCCGGGCAGTTAGGGTTAAGTGAACGCTGCAACCGTACCAGTGTTGTAGTCAGGTCAGTCGCAGGTCCAGTTACCAGACCTTTTTCAAAACCTGTTGTGAGCAACCGGGTGAGCCGTGACAAAAGACTTGTTTTTTTTTCACAGTTCAGTACCGCAGCTTGTAGCTCGGCTTAAGCCTGACCGACTTGTGATGGATTCAACTCAAAACACTGAATCATTCCCGATCCTCTCGAGAGTATCAAATGGGAAAACTTTTCATGTCAGCTACATTTTGGTGGGAGGGACAACCCTGTGGTAAGAGTCTGCAGATTCAAAATAGCTCGAGCTTGCGGGCACCGTTTATTTTGCTTCTTAACCCCTCAGAGAGCACAGGCGAAAAATCTGTGACTTACTTGTTTTCAAAAGCTACTGTGACCTCATTGTCGTGAATGTTCTTGATAAAAGCCTGCAGAAGAGAAAAAGATAAAATGATGCGATGTACATGTAACAACAGGGGTGAAAAAAAAGGCAGGTACGGTACATGTACATGTACCATTCTTAAAGTCTGCAATCCTCAGTGATCAGAATTTGCTCACACTTCACGGCAGTGCCTCATTGCCTTCGATTCCTTCCCACAACCAAATTTATCATTGGTTTTCCACAAGAAAGCTATAGACCACACACATGAACAGAAGACAAGAAATGCATGTACCTCCATGTTGGATAACAAAGTCAAGACTTTGAAAAATTTGGCTTTTTCTATGAAAGTACTTAAAGAGTTACAATATACTCTTCATACCTGAATAGTCAAGTCTTTTCACCTGCCAAATACAGGCATATTTCACTTGCCTGTGTGATATTTCCAACAAAATTTATGAAGTTGTTAATGTAAATATCATTTGATAACATGCATCAATTATCACTGTAAAACGATGCTGTTATTATGCAAATAAATTAAATTGACCACGGATGCATCCTGGCAATGTATGATGCATTATGGTGATTATGTCGAGCAAATGCAACCATCGGCCATTAATCTCACTGGGGTGTCAAGTGCACGTAATTAATGCCAAAACTCAAGTCACAATAGGGTCTGCCCATTACGGTCAACCCGTTCGAATGCGGCCTGAATGCGGCCAGTCTTGGTGCACTCGCACTTCCGCGCAGACACACGTACATGTGCATGTACCAACACCGTGTCTGCTGTGTCACCTCAGTTTTCCAGAGATGCCTCTGTAACATAAACCGCATACTGGGCCCCAGTTTCACAGTTCTGCACGCTGTATTGGACAACTCTCCCAGATGATGTGCAAGTGGATCTTTCATGGGCTCTCACGGCCAAACATTTAGTATTTAGGATTAAAGAAACTTTCCCAAAGCCCAATTCTGTCTTTCGGCCTCATACTTTAGGCATGTTTGTAAGTGTTCCATCAACTGAGCTACAGCCCTACACATGTACCACACAGACACACCGGTGGATGCGGAAGTTTACAAATTACAAAACCGAACTGACAAAATAGCACCCTTAACTGACGAGGACGAACAATTTACGGTGCAAGTTCCAAAAGTGTGACCTTTTTGTGTCCCTGTTACATCTGACCTTTGTTATTTGACATGGAAGTATCACCGGAATTGATTTCAAACTATTACTATTTGTTTGGCGGGTAATCGTGTATGAATTCATCACTCTTGGAAATGAGAAAATGTGTTCTGAACTTATACAATCAAGTCAGATGTGACAGGGACACGAAAAAAAAAATATGGACCCCTAATTTCTGGAATTACCCATATACGTGTAGATGCAGATTTGCGCATACATGATGTATAAGTACTGAACATCATTGTTCATGCAGAATGTACTCGACGATGTTTAATCGATAAACACAGCGTCTACATTTACGTGCAAAGTCCATGTCTTAACTCAGAAGGTGCACCAACCTCTGTTCTGACAACTCATTATCAGGATAATTTCTCCATGAAGCCCCCAGGCTGTACTAGTGGGCACGGCCAGGTTTGTGCACATCGTAGCACACGGTACATATTGCACCTCCATGTGCAGAGCTCAGTTAAATGGGCTGACATACATGAATGTGCACATGTACATGTACGTGTATGTCCACATGTACGTCCACATGTACGTGTACATGTGGACATACATGTGGACATCATAGTCATGTTTACATTTACTTTACATGTGAAATGTACCGTAGTATTAGTGAAAGACCAAAGTAAACATGTTCAATGGTCCTTCTTTCCTTTCACAACAACAGAACGAGCGGGGCGACCCAGGTGCCTTCTGGTCAGATTATTTTTCGAGTGAGGCAAATTTTGAGACCTTTCCAAAAACTTGCGGAAAGACTGGAAGTTTTTTAAGCCCTACTAGTACATCTGCACTCTCCAATGAGAATTTCAAAACCATTTTTTTTTTCATGTGTTGCCAAACACAAATATCTCGGAACGAGCAATTTGATTTGCACACAATAGAGAATTTGAGAGAATTCCAGAAGGTCCTTTGGTAAACGTTAATGGGTATATCTCCCAATCACTCGGACGTTTATTTATTACTTTTTTCTGTGACCTCCACATTATGATAAGTTCTGGGCGGCAGCGCTGGTCACTAAAATTCTGTGAAGCGGGCAACCTTATGTCTGAACCTACATGTATAACATACAAAGTAGGAAGGAAAACCTGGCACAGTGGACCAACTCCCAGACGTGCCCCCGGTCTACGCAGCACAAGTGCAGCCGGCTTCTGTGCCAAAGGTTTCCATCGCTCTCGGCAACATTCCTACGACAGGGCAACAATCTATTTGAAGACCTCCAGAAATAACCCTGGGTTCAATCCCTGCCAAGGTCAAAGACGGGATTCCAGGCATTTAATTTGCAGACCCTTCTCCCCTCCCCCCCACCTCTGCTCATTAAGGGAGGGCCACACGTCGCATACAGCGTTGAACGTCGCCTCCCTTGTGCATGTTTGCAGTCTCCAGGCTCGCTGTTAATTACAACATCTCGTCGGAGCATTACTTGCCACACATGCACATTTTGCATTCTTCTGGAAAACTGCCTTGTTCTCGTGTAGTATTTAAGAAATATGGACCCACAATAAAATTAAATACCACTAAATGTACATAGACGTGTACTGTACATGTACATACATGTATTTGTACCGGTCCACGTCTTACAGAATTTTGGCAAATAATGTTCCCATGAACATATTTATACAGCCTTCCTTCTTTTATTTTACATGGGTTTAAATTCTTTATCAGTACTAACGCAAACATTGTACACTTTGGCACTGGCTTTCTGAAGAGAAAACTTGAAGGGCATACAGGTTTAACACAACTCTACAGTACATTGGTTGGGCTTCTTAAATGCACAATTAGATGTTTTCTCAAACTGACATAACGGGCCCAAGGCGTGTACATGTACCTGTGTGAAATGACTGTACTCCTTTTTCAATTACAAACCCAGCCTGGTGTACATATCACACACACGTAAGTAATGGAGTGCCACGGGTTGATGTGACACAAGACCCCAGCAATGTGAGCTATTTGGCCTAGGCTGTCATGTCTTTGCCACTGGTCTAACTCTACCTACATGTACGTGTGCCATCTGAGATCTCCAAATGAACCTGTGCATCGGCCAGTTGTCCTCCGGTAGGTAATCTGACTAAATTTACCACACAGCGTCAGATGCAAAGCCTGATGGTAGTAGGGATGTCCAGTTATGCACATGCATTCGTAAACATTTACAGGAAACTGTCCACATGTGCATGTACGTCTGCATGCGTGCTCGCGCTAGAACCAACGGATACATTTTGATGTCAACTGCAGTAAATTAGACGTACATGTCAACATCTTTCCATATCACTGCCCCACGTCTTTGGAATACCAATAGTCTCCCCTTGAACATCTACAGTCCAGTAGTCCAGCTCTCGGCTCTTTCAAAACAGCACTCAAGAGACACTTTTATAACCTTGCTTACAGGCGCGGGCTTGTATTGTGACAAATCTATTTTTCCCCCAGTACATAACTACAATAATTTACTTCCACTTTTGTAGCGCCGTGAGCGCCTATTTCTCAGGTGGATTCGAATGCTTTTTAAATGCTCATTAGAATTACTATTATTGACATGAATGTGTTAGGCATTCAATGTTTGGAGATCTACAATGTACAGTATGAAACACCGGTCAAGAGGCTTTCTTGACCAGAAAAGGCTTGATCTTGTCATATTTTGAACTGATTTCTAAAAAAATTCAGAATTATTTCAATCAAAAACAGTTGAAACATTTACGAAAGCATTATCACATGCGAAGTTTCTCAGAACAATGGATCTTTCGTTTTAAATTCGATTCTTACGTTGGCATGAAAGGGTGAACTTCCGTGGACCAAATCATGGAGGCTAATTTACATGCTCCAAGTGACTGATTGTATGTGGTTTTACAGCCTTTTAGAAATATTTTCAAAGGTATTTTAGAGTTATCAGTAAATTGTACAGTGGGCATTCCAGGCTGCATACTGCAGGTAATCCTGATAAGCAGACCTACCGGTACATACATGTGTAACGTGTACCGAACATTGCTGTATGCACAAACCAGCACATTTAATGTAAATTACTTCTTTCTTGATCAACATGCGAGCTCCATGAATGCATTACCGCGAACAAATTTCAACAATAAAGGTTATGGATCATACATTGTACATGTACATTGTACATGTAGGCACTACCAGGCCCCATCTATACGCACATGTATGTGAAGGCCTGCTTGTTTTGAAGCTTTGAAGCATTCGCTCTAGTTCCACACTGCACTATGTGTGGTGAAAATCTCACTTCCCTACCGCTATGTTTGCTTTATCTAATCTGGGAAATCCCTGATATCAAAAGTCCAGCTAATTCAGTGGACATTTATAAAAAAAACACATAGGATTGCTGAGGTTGCTAATTTTTTTTTTTTTTAATAATCCCGTGTTTGCTCCCTTGGACCACTGTCAGATCAATATTTCTCTCTACGAGAAACAGGGGAAAAATGGGGACAACAGGTGTTCCTGCTTTTAATAGAAAAAGAGACAATAAAGTGGAGTGTCCCTGGCACACACACAAAAATTACACTGGGATTACCCCATGTGTACATGTGGAATACGTAGAGATTATGCATCCGTTAGATACACAGAGTGGTTGGGTGAAGGGGCCACAGCACAGCCATGAGAAGCATCCAGAGACTAAAAGTCGACATTTTTGTTTCTCTGACGAAGGGTGCAGCGAGGAATGAGCAGGCAGCCATGGAGACTGAACTGGGCACTTTTCTAGAACCCCATTTTCACAAAGCTGTTTGACAGAAAAGTTTGCTTTGAAAAGCTGCATGTACATGTACACGCTGAGCAAAAATAAGCAAAGTACCAGTCAAAACAAGTGTAGATATCATGGCTTTTCAGCTGGTAGCCTAACTTTTTTCTTCTTCTCAGCTAAG